GGGAGGGACAGGAGTCAGGTGTGGGGTGGGCCTGAGGAGGGATGGGGAAGGGCCTGGAGAGGGTCTAGGAAGGTCGGAGGTGGGTCGGGGGAGGGTCTGGGACTCCCAGTATCAACCCCTCTGGGGTGCGGAGAAGGTTTAGGTCTGGCTCCAGGCCGCTTAGAGCCCCCACCCCACAGGCTTTGTGAAGCACACGCCCACCAAGCTGCGTGCACCTGCCTACAGCTTCCGTGGAGCCCCCATGCTCCTGGCAGAGAACTGCTCCCCAGGGCCTCGCTATAGTGTGAACCCCAAGGTACTGAGGACCGGCAAGGACCTCAGCCCTGCCTTCTCCATCCTGGGGCGCTACCACACAAAGACCATGCTGACCCCTGGCCCCGGTGAGTGACAGTGGCTCAGCCTCAGCCCAGCCCAGCCCAACCCTGCAGTGGCCACTGTACCACTGAGCCAGGGTGGGAGGGAGCACAGCCATCCTCGCCCTCCTGGTCTCTTTCTCCTCAAAGAGGGTAACCATCAGGCTGGGCAGAGGAGCTGCTGACCTCAGGGAAGCCTCTAAACACCTGAGCCCAGCTCTAACCTGGGCCTTACTCGACCCCTGCCCCCAACCCCCCACAGCATTTCCACTCTGGACACCCTCAACCCATCTCAGTCACCATCCGTGTTGGGGCCTGAATGCCTGGAGTCTACAATGCCAGGAGTTGTCCTTAAGGCCCCTGAGCTGGCCAGGCAGCTGATGATCACTGTCCTCCCAGCACCCCCTGCTCCTTCCCTCCTGCAGGTGACTACTTTCCAGAGAAATCTACCAAGCACGTGTTCGACTCGGCGCCCAGTCACTCCATTTCTGCCCGGACCAAAACCTTCCGAGTGGACAGCACCCCAGGTCCGCAGCAACTCCGGCAGCCCATGGCCAGCTGGGCAGGGTTCTGGGTGGGGAGGGTGAGGTGGGCAGCTAATAGCTGGTCTCCAGAGGTGGAAAGCCCCAGGGAAGGAGCCAGCAGGGACCCCAGGCACAGGATGCTGACCAGCCTGAGACTCAGTGCTGGCACCCCCTGCAGGCCCTGCCGCCTACATGCTGCCCATGGTGATGGGGCCCCACACTGTTGGCAAGGTCTCCCAGCCTGCCTTCTCCATCAAGGGCCGCAGCAAGCTGGGCAGCTTCAGCGACGACCTGCACAAGGCAAGGGGCGCCCTCTGGGGCAGAGCTTACCCCCCAGAGAACTGGCCAATCTGGCCCCTTCCCCCAGAACCCAGGACCCACCAGCATGACCCCACTCTCCTGAAGCCCCTCAGCTCTTCATCCCCTGGGTGTCTGCCACATGCCTGGGTCACATTCAGGGGCTGAGGAGGGTTGAGCAGGGAAGGGGTCCGTGGAGCCCCATGCGGTGACAAGGGTAGCATGCAGGAGAAAGGGGAGGAGAAAGCTAAGCTGTGAGATATTTGGGGAGGAGGATTCTGGACACGGTGGCTGGTGCAGAGGCCCTGAGGTGGGCATGTGCCGGGGCTCAAAGAGCTCTGATGATCCCACCTGTCCAGCCCTGCCCACAGCCCTCCGGTCCACAGGACAGGTCCCAGCCAGGAAGGGCCTCTCACACGCTCGGGACGGGATGAGCTCGGCTGCCACAAGCTTGGGTGTCACTGCCACCATGAGGCTGAAGTTGAGGGTGATATTCTACACAGACAGGGTCCCACAGCACTGGGGTTTCAACTCATAGGGAACACTGTTTGGAGACAGAAGGGGACCCTGACCCAAGTGCACAGTGATTCGAGGCCTGAAACCCACCATCCAACACTGGCTCCTTGCCCTCTGGGATCACATGCCCTGGCAGGCCAAGCCTGTCTGAGCCTCTTTTGTTTCCCAGACCCCAGGTCCTGCGGCCTACCACCAGACCGACGTGCAGGTGACTAAATTCAAGGCCCCGCAGTATACCATCGCTGCCCGAGTGGAGCCCCCGGGGGACAAGACCCTCAAGCCAGGACCAGGAGCCCATAGCCCTGAGAAGGTCTGGGAGGCAGAGGGGTACTGTGAAGAAGGGGTGGGGACACGGTGACCCAGCCCAGACGGAGTGGGGTGGGGGGCAGGGGGTGGGGAAGGCACAGCCCAGGCAGGTGGGGTAGGGAAGGGCCTGTGGGATGAAAGCAGGGGTGCTGGCTCCTCTCACAGCCTCTCCTCTTCCAGGTGACAGTGACCAAGCCCTGCGCCCCCATTGTCACCTTCGGCATCAAACATTCTGACTACATGACACCCCTGGTCGTGCAGGTGGACTAGCCCAGTCCCACCCCACCATCATGCCTGGCCCTAAAGGGCAAAGCATGCTCGTTTAGACAATTGTGACATTTTTTCTATGCTACTTTCCCATTTGCTAATTTTGTTCCCTTCTGTGACCACATACATAATAAATCATGATTCCATTACGTATGAGCATGTCTCGGGGGGAGATCAAGCTTCTCCAGCCTGGGGTCTGAGCAGAAACAGGAGGGCTAGGGAGCAAGGACACCCTGCCCTGTGTTCATGGTAGACTTGATGGTCACCTGCACTCATCCCCTCCCATGTGCTCTTCCCCCTTCTTGACGGACTCTCCCTCTCTGAGAGAAGGGGTCTGTGTTCCCCTTGAATCTGAGCCTTGACCACCCTAAACTGGTGCCAGGTGACTTTTAAGGCCAGGCCACACAGCATATGGAGGAAACAGCTTCTGCATGGATCCCCCCACACCTTGCTCACCACATTGCTAGGGGGAGACCTGTGCAGCACCCGAGAAGTCGGCCCAGCTGGCCCTCAGCTCACACCAGCACTGAACTGCAGCTGTGCCAGCAAGTCTTCAGGTGATGGCAGCCCAGCCTGTTTCCAGGTCAGTCCTTAACATCCCAGGGCAGAGACAGCCTGTCACCAATTCCAGCCACAATAACTGTGGGACATAAATCACTTGCGATTTGAGTGATTACGTTTTGGGTGGGGTGTGTGTTTTTCACCTCCCTCGAGGATATGTTGTTATTGATTTCAGAGGAAGGGAGAGGGAGAGAAACATCAACCAGTTGCCTTCCATATGCACCCCAACCAGGGCTTGAACCCACAACCTGGGGATGTGCCCTGACTGGGAGCCAAACCCATTACCTTTCAGGGTACAGGACAACACTCCAACCCACAGAGCCACTCAACCGGAGCTGAGTGACTGTTTTAAGGTGCCCTGTGACACATCAGACAGGCAGGAAGCACAGGGAAGGGGTCGGCTCTCTCACAGTCACTCATTTGAGTTAAAGAACCCTGGGCAGAGCACAACACCTGAGGGAACAAGTGAGGGGGGCAGGGGCCTGGGAGGACCCCAGGAGGGGAAGCAGGCAGGTCCAGCCTATAAGTGCCCACGGCATCCCAGGACCAGGGCCAGTGCCACACAAAGCCCTCTCAACCCCCAAGAAAATGAAGAAGCTGTTTATTACAACTTTTTATTGTTTAATGTCTTGTCCTTGAATTATGGGATAGAGCCTGGAAGTTTGTCCTCATGTGACAGGGACTGGTTTCAGGGATCAGTGTCAGCAAACCCCTACTACCCACAGGATGAGGTGCTCCGTGCACAGGACTGAAGTGTGAGGAGGGTGACAGCCTGCAGGACACCCAGCTCTGGCTGAGTCACCATGTCCCCTCCACAGAACCCATCCTAACACAGTAAGAACGAACAGCAAAAAGCCAGGACCCAGAATGGCTGGAAGGTGCAAGGAGCCGTGGAGATGGAGAGGTGGACAAGAACAGCAAGCAGAGGAATCGGAGATGCAGAAAGGACTCCTGCAGGCCAGCCCCAAACACAGCACCTGTGCTCCTAGTCTGCACCAGCGACGAGAGGGCACC